AATTGGAAACACCATCTCTGAGCCCCTGCTGGGAGTCCCTGTTCTAACCAGAGTGACTCCACTGTGTGTGTAGAACCTTTTCACATTTGAATCATTCATGTGTCGATCATGACCCTTCTCCTCGGGGAGAATGTAGTTTCCCATTTTGCAGGTCAGGCAACTGAGGCCCAGAAATATCAGAACGTTTTATGAGATGACACAGGAAAGCAGGACTTAGAGGTGGCTCTGCGTGACTCTAGAAGGGATGCCGTTCTCACTTCAGCAAGTTGGTAGGGACAGAGGAGCCTTCTCTCCTTGTGGGACCACTTGACTGTCCTATAGAACAGGTTGCTAACATATGTGGCACACATAAGTACAACACATCTTTTCTGTTTCTGGGGTTTCTTGGGATGTTCCCCCCACCCCACTCCATGAATGCTGGTGCCAGGACAGAGGTCTGTGCAGCTTAGTCAAACAGAAGGAAGTTCATTGGCAATGGACTGCTGTGTTGAGAGGTTATTGTTATTCCTGGAAGAATGGTGGTGTGAAGTGTTCGTCTCTTTGGGCTTTGGTACAGCCCACATTATATACAGGCTTGTAAGTCTACTTACTGCTTACTGTGTTTTTGTGGAGGAGCTCTGGTGGCATATTGGTGGTGTATTGGGCTGCTAACTGGGAGGTCAGCAGTTCGAAACCACAAGACAGGGTTTTCTACTCCTGAAAAGAGTTACAGTCTCAGAAATCCACAAGGGCAGTTCTACCTTGTCCTATACAGTCACTATGAGTTAGAATCTACATAACGGCAGCATGTATGATTCAGTTTTCAGTGTGTTGTTGGGAAGGTGTGGTGTTTGTGATTAGGTAACATTCAAGTGACAGTTTTTCCCCTGGCTCATCCCACCTATCTGATCACCAGAGTTCATTGGGATAGATATGCCCCACCTACTATATATCAAAACCCATCATACCTAGCAAAAATTTTAAAATTTTGTGTGATCCAGCATGCATTTCATTAGCAAGGAAAAAAAGGGAAGCAAGCAAAGCAGCCAGAGAAAAACTGAATAAAAAGCATCACTGAGCCCTAGTTTGGCTTGCATTTCTACTGCTTAAAAAGTTGAATTTGGATCACTGAGTCTTATGACCTCCGTTATCAAGTAGGTGTCACTGAGCATGTCTATTTCACTTCAACAAACAACAGTGCGCGCACACACAGTTTGCAGTTCTAACCTACCCAGGGGCTGCGGAAGCAAGACCTGATCTGCTTCCTAGAGATGGCAGCCTGGAGGAGCCTAAGGGGCTCAGTTTCACTGTGACGCAATGGGTTTATCGGACCAATGGAGACTAACGCGACTCCAGTGCATAGAGTTGTCGAGAAGATGACGTGAGGTAATGTTTTCCAAGTGCTCGACAGAGCACCTGGCCACTGAGAAGTAGCTTCGCAAATGTGAGATGCGAAGAATCCTGTAAACGTGGGAAGAGCAGCAGCTACCGGAGCTGACACAGCCCTGAGGTGACCTGGTCAAGCCAAGCACAGTGCCGGCAGGTGGCAGGGATAGGAAGACACAATAGTCAGCTCTGTGCGAAGCGGGGAGCAGGAAGGGGAATCCAATTCCCAGGCTTCCTCTAGGTAACAATGAGAATGCAAAATGAGACATAGCTCCCCCTCCCCTGGGCCCCAGGTCGGTCGGTAGGAAAATGAGCAGATTCTCTCTTGGCCTCTGGACCTTGCACTGCCACATGGTTCTTCCGCAAAAGCCTTAGCAGAGCTCCAGCACTGCCCGCCTCTGATGGCTGTTTTTGTTCATTACCTTTTTGTAATGCTTTCAGCCACTGACTTCTGCTCTCTTCATTCAATGCATAGATGTAGAGAAGTCCTTCTTTATAGACTATCTGGAAAGGGAAAGACAGACAGGATAGGGGTGCATTGAGACAGGCAGCCTTGGAGTACACACTGGTGTCATTGCAGATGTGCTATTGCCCAAGAATTCTTTTATATGGCCTGGATTAGATGAAAGAAAAGTTCTACAAAGGTTCCTCCCCCACCCCCACCCCCATCATCTCTCCATTTTATTTTTAACTGAGATCCTCCGGACACCTTGGAAACTCAGAGCAATGCGGAATCCGATGGCAGTGAACACGAAGCTCTCAGCAGCGGGGGGCCGGACCATAGGGCCAGAACATGCATGTCTGAGAAGGTCGCTTGAAGGAACCCTGGTGGCAAAGGGGGTTACAGTCTGAGACCACCAGCTGCTCCACAGGAGGAAGATGAGGCCTTCTTCTCTCATAAGGAGTTCTAGTCTCGGAAACCCACAGGGCAGTTTGGCCCTGTCTTATAGAGTCACTGTGAGTCCGAATTGACTTGAGGGCATTGAGTCTATTTGGAGATTTTTTTGCGATATACCTGTTGATATACTGGATTATGTGTTGGGCTACTAATGACAAAGTCAGCAGTTCAAGCCCACAAGCTACTCTGAAGGAGAAAGACGAGGCATTCTGGTCCCGTAAAGATTTAGAGTCTCAGAGACCCACAGGGACAATTCTCTGTCTTATGAGTCACTATGAGTCTTCCTTCTCTCGCTCCCTCTCTCTCTAGTTTTGGAAAATGTTTCTCTACTCTATCCTGAAAAACGCTTCCAAGGAGAGTGTGTCCTTTGCTCACTTCACGGTCCTTGTCCATTGCCATCGAGTCCCATCAATGTATAGTCCCTGCTTATATTCAGGACAGAATACATCTCCCTGGTACTTCATACCATTCACTACAGTTCCAGTCTGAGAAGCTCACAGACTAGTCGCCTAGCACTGCAGACAGAAGCCCCAGGGCTTAGTGGTGCCACATTGTGCTAACTGCAACATCAGCAATTCAAAATCTCCAACTGCCCCACGGGAGAAAGGCGGGCCTTTCTACTGTCATAAAGAGTTAGTCTTGGAAACCCACAGAGGCAGATTTACCTTGACCTATAGGGACTTTGGAGTTTGACTACTTTAGACACTTGTTTAAAGATTACAATTTCTTCCTCCCACCCATCTCTAGTAGACTCGCCTTTTGTTGATAAATAATGCACAGCATGTTTAGAAAGGCTCCTAGTTTCTGGGCTCTTCACTAGCGACGTTATTATTTTAACTCTATGGCAAAAGATATGATTCTGAGTGTTTTGCAGAGAAGGAACCAAGCTCAGGGAGAGTTTGAGGATGGGGTTGTGGTGACAAATATAAATGGGGAAGCTGGGAGCTCTGTGCACCTCCAAAGCCAATGTTCTTTTGAGTCCTTAATGCCTCTGGGTAAATGTTAGACTCCTGTGAGGTTCGTGGTTCAAACCCACCAGCTGATCAGTGGGAGAAAGATGGGGGTGTCTGCTCCCGTAAAGACTGACAAAGTCTCAGAAACTCTCTGTAGGTTCTCTGTGAGTTGGAGTTGATTCAGTGGTTTGAATATGTATTTATTTGTTTTGGTTTATCCCTCTGTGTGTGGGTTTAAATGACCTTCCACCGTGCACAGCTCCTCCTGGTCTCTCCCAATTGGGTACTATTTTCTTTTACAATCAGAAGTACTGGTTGTTCATCAACTGGGTTATATTATTTCACTGGATTATTTTCTTCTATTTCATGTTATTGTAGACCACATGCCCCTAAGGGAGCCCTGGTGGTATAATGGGTTATGAGTTGGGCAGCCAACTCCAAGGTCAGCAGTTTGAACCCTCGAGCCATTCCAAAGGAGAAAGATGAAGCTGTCTGCTCCTATAAAGACTACCCTGTCTTAGAGGGTAGCGATGAGTCAAATTAACTCGATGACAGTGAGTTTGGAGCTTCTTGGAGTTCGGACAGGTCCCTAACATAAGCACTATCCTTCAGATGAGAGAAGGAAGTGCCCGTAATATAATGGAAGTCAAGCGTGGCCGAGGTAACTCAAGGCACACTTGTATCTCTTGCCATCACTGAAAGAAGTTCAAGAGAAGATGGACACTTTTGTGTCATCTTATGTAGCCCTTCCTGCTACAGCCCTGGCCACCTCTCCAGGCTCAGCTCCCTCCACCCTCTCCCGGCTGGACCCTTTGGAGTTCTCTAAGCACACTGTCCCTTTCTTGTCATCTGTTCTTTCTTGGTCCTCACTCCGCATCTGCTTCTCAGTCCACGGGTCACTGACAATAGATGCTCTCCCTGACTTCCTGGAATGAGGAACGCTGGGTCTGCTTCCCAGGCTCCATGGCGGATTCTGCCACCATCATCTTAGCAGGCAGCCCTATACTGTGCTTCCTGCTGGGTGTATTAGTCTAGTCCCTCACTCCTCCTGTAAGTTGGGGGGGGGGCAGGGCAGGGGTGCTTCCAGTATGCCTTCTGCCTTATCAGAGTCCCTCAACAAGGCTTGGTGGTTGGGCCTCCTGCTACTTTCACTCTTGCCCCAAGAAAGCGGATAAGCCAAACTAGTTGCCATGACTTCAGACTGGAGACCACACCACGTGGGGGTTCTGTAGGGCTTTCA